AAGGACTAGAAAAATTGATCCTAAAATTTATATGGAACACAGAAATATCAAATAGCCAAAGTAATCTTGAAAAAAAAGAACAAAGTTGGAGGTATTATGATACTTGTTATCAAATTATACTACAAGGCAATAGTAATCAAAACAGCATGGTACTGACATAAAAACAGGCACATAGATAAATGGAACAGAATAGAGAACCCAGAAGTAAATCCACACCAATATGGTTAATTAATCTATGACAAAGGAGGCAAGAATATACGATGGGGTAAACAGTCTCTTCAATAAGTGGGGAACTGAACAGACACATGCAAAAGAAAGAAATTGGATCACCTTCTTACACCATACACACATTAAAAAAAACTCGAAATGGATTAAACTCTTAAATATAAGGCCTGAAACCATAAAACTCCTAGAAGAAAATACAGGCAGTAGACTCTTTGACATAGCAATTAATAATATCTTTCTAGATGTGGCTCTTCAGGCAAGGGAAACAAAAGAAAAACAAATGGGACTACATCAAACTAAAGTATTTTTGCACAGCGAAAGAAACCATCAACAAAATGAAAAGACAATCTATTAAAATGGGAGAAGATATTCACTTATGATACATCCAATAAGGGGTTAATGTTCAAAATATATAAGGAACTCATACAACTTAACAACAAATAAACAAACAATTTTATTGAAAAATGGGCAGAGGACCTGAACAGACACTTCTCCCAAGAAAACATACAAATGGCGAACAAATATTTGAAAAGATTCTCAACATTGCTAGCTATCAGGGAAATGCAAATCAAGATCGCAATGAGATACCATCTCACACCTGTTAGAATAGTTATAATCAACAGGACAAGTAATAACAAATGTTGGAGAGGATGCAGAGAAAAAGGAATCCTTATACACTGCTGATGGGACTGCAAATTGGTACAGCCACTATGGAAAACAGTACGGAGGTTCCTCAAAAATCTGAGAATTGATCTACCATATGATCCAGCAATCCCTCTACTGGATATTTACTCTGAAGACTTGAAAACTCCTATCCGAAAAGATATTTGTACACCAATGTTCATAGAAGCATTATTCATAGTGGCCAGGACATGGAAGCTACCAAAGTGTCCTACAATAGATGATTGGCTAAAGAAGCTGTGGTACATATATACAATGGAATATTATCAGTCATAAGAAGAGACGAAATACTGTCATTTGCAACAATATGAAGGGACCTCAGACAGAAAAAGTTGAAAATCACATGATATCACTTATATGTAGGATATAAATCTAAAAGCAACAAATGAACAGGACAAACAGACAGAGACTTATGGACATATCGACTAGTGGTTACTAGTGGGGTGAGGGAGGAGGGGACAGGTAGACAGGATAGGCAGTCAAATATGGGGGGGTAGAGGGAGGGTGAAGGGGGTAAAGGGGATCAAATATATGGTAGCTGAAAGAAACTGGACTTTGGGTGGTAAACACACAATAGAATATACAGATGTCAAATTATAACGTACACCTGAAAATTTTATAATTGTATTAACCAATGTTTCCCCAATAAACTTAATTTTTAAAAAGTTAAAAAAGATTTTTTAAAATAAATGTAAACTGTAATTGAAAAAATTTAAAATTTCCACAAAGAAAAGCCCTGGATCAGGTGGCTTCACTGGTGAATTTCACCAAATATTTAAAAATCAACATCAATCTCTTCCAAACTATTCAAAAACAAACAAACAAAAATCAGAAAGTGAAAGAACACTTTCTAACTCTTTATATGAGCCCTGTATTGTTACTCATATGAAAACCAAAGACATCACAAGAAAACTACAGATCAATATCTCTTATGAATATAGATGCAAAACCCTCAACAAAATACTAGCAAATCAAATCCAATAAATAAAAAGGGTTATACACAATGACCATGTTAAGATTTATTCCAGGAGTGCAAGGTTGGTTCGACCTACAAAATTAATCCAGATACTACACCATAGTACCAGAATAAAGAAAAAACATCCATATGATCATCAATAGATGCTGAAAAAACATTGCACAAAATCTAATACTCTTTTATGATGAAAACACTAAACAAACTAGGAATCAAAAGGAACTTTATTAAACTGAGAAAGGCCATCTAGGAAAAACCCACTGCTTATATGTTTAATGGTGATAGACTTGATGCTTTCCCTCTAAGATCAGGCAAGACAGGAATGTCTGCCCTCTCACCAGTTCTATTCAACAGTGAACTGGAGGTTCTAGCCATTGTAATTAGGCAGAAAAAGAAATAAAAATCATCGAGGATGGAAAAGAAGTAAAACTATGTCTGCTCATAACCAACATGATTTGATATAAATATAGAAAACCCTACAGAATTCACAAACTATTAGAACTAATAAATGAGTTCAGCTAGGTTATAGAATACATGATTAATATACAACAATTTCATTTCTAAATACTAGTAATGAATAATCCAAATGTGAAATTTCAAAAACAATTCCACTTACAATATCATCAAAAAGAATAAAATCATAGGGAATAAATTTAACGAAAAAAGTGTAAGACTTGTCACTGAAAACTACAAGATATCACTAAAAGAAATTAAAGACCTGAACGAATGGAAAGATTTTCTGTGTTTAGTAGATTTAATATTGTTAAGGTGGCAGTATTCCCCAAGTTGATCTACAGATTCTATGCAATCCCCATCAAAATCCCAGCTACTTTTTTTTTTTTTTTGGCAGAAATTGATAACTGATCATTAAATTTATGTGGAAATTCAGGGATTTGGGAAAATTAAAATAATCTTGAAAAGGAACAAACTTAAAGGGTTCATACTTCCCAATTTCATAACTTACTACAAAACTACAGTAACCATGGCTGTGTGGTGCTGGGATAAGAGAGACATGTAAATCAGTGAAATATAATTCAGAATTCAGAAACAAACCCTTACATTTATGTTCAGTTGACTTTTGATTTGGGTGTCAAGACAGTTCAATAGAGAAAGAATAGTCTTTCAAAGATTATGCTGAGAAAACTTGATATCCACATGCAAAAGAATGAAATTGGACCTCTACCTCAAATCATATACAAAAACTAACTCAAAATGGATCATAGACCTGAATGTAAGAGCTAAAACTATGAGACTCTTAGTGAAAATGTAAACATAAATCTCCATGACCTTAGAGTCATCAATGATTTCTTAGGTATGACACTAAAAGAACAAGCAACAAAATAATAACATAAATAAACTGGACTATAGTCAATAGGCACTTAATGATGGGGATACAATCTCAGAAATGTGTCATTAGGCGATTTCATCATTGTGCAAATATCATAGTGTGCACTTACACAAACCTAGACAGTATAGGCTACTACACACCTAGCCTATTGTTCCTAAGCTACAAGCTGTACAACATGTTACTGTACAAAATAAAATGAGATTAAGTCAAGCACGAAGAGAAATGATGCAATCAAGAGATGTAGTAAACACAAGATGTATGAGGCTGCTGCCAGTGTAACGCAGCATATTGTTTTATACCAAACTTTTTTATAAGTAGAAAACCACACTTAAGATATTGATTAAAAGCATAGTATAGTAAATACATAAACCAGTAACAGTCATTTATCATTTTCAAGTATTACGTACTATACATAATTGTGTGTGCTACGCTTTTATACAACTAGCAGCACAATAGGTTTCAAGTATTATGTACTATACATAATTGTGTGTGCTATGCTTTTATACAACTAGCAGCACAATAGGTTCGTTTATACCAGTATCACCAAAACACACGAGTAATATATTGTGCTATGATGTTATGACAGCTACAATGTCACTAGGCGATAAAAATTTTTCAGCTCCATTATAATTATATAGGACTACCATTGTTATGCAAGGCATAACTGTACATCAACATTAAAAACTTTTGTGTTTCAAAGGACACCATCAAGAAGGTGAAAACAAAATCCACCAACTAGGAGAAAATATTTTTAAATCATATATCTGATAAGGAATTAGTATCCATAATATATAAAGAATACCTACAACTAAACAATAAAAGACATAACGCAATGTTTTAAATGGGCAAAAGATATGAATAGACATTTCTCCAAAAAATATACACTTTGCTAACAGCAAATGAAAAGATGCTCAACATCAGTAGTCATTAAGGAAATCTAAATCAGAACCTCAAGGACATATGACTTCTCACCCACTAGGATGGCTGTAATAAAAAAAAAGCCAGACATTAATAAGTGTTAGAGAGGATGTGGAGAAATTAGAACCCTCATATATTGATGGTGTGAATGTAAAAGAAAGCAGCTGCTATGGAACATAGTTTGGCAGGTCCTTAAAACCTAAGCATACTAGCTTCTGGGAAGATGGTGGATGAGGAAGAACCAGGAATCTGTCTTCCCAGCTAGACAATAATCATACTGGCAGAATCTATCTGACGTAATTATTTTGAAATTCTGGAGTCTATTGAAGGCTTGGTGGAGGGGAAGGAATGGATGGTAAATTATAGTTAATTTCACTCAATTTCAGCTCTTATCACAGTGGAAAGTACCCATTCCCCAACCCCAACCACATGACAGGCAGCTGTGCATATGCTTCTGGAGCAGTTTACATGCAGTGTGTGGGATGGGAGCCAGAGTGGGCATAAAGGACCCAGTTCTCCTAATATTGAATATCTGTGCTCCAATCACTGATTGCTCATTCTGAAAATATAGATGCAGACAAGGGAAGGCAACTATTGTTCTTGCACCCTACCCCCATTGTTGAAATCCCCTTCAACTCCAGCCAGAGTGACTTACAGGGGACTTAAAGGACTAACTCCCTTTCATCTCCCCTTTTGTTTTTCTCTTTTTCCCTTTTTGAAGCCAAAATTAAACAGTATAATGTTAAACAGAACTGTGTATATGGGGAAAATTAGCAAGTGACCGTGCATGTCCAGGGAAAAGCTCAGAAAACAAAACAACAACCACAAAACCTTACATTTACACCTCAGGCTTACCGTAGGCACAGAGATAGCCTACAACAATCAGAAAAACAAAACCAGTAAAAACAGAAGCAAAAAACAACTATTGCTTGGGAAGGGGAAGAATCTGATTTCCAGAGTTACCACAATATTAGATTCAAATGTCCAGTGTTTAACAAGAGAAACATGAGCTATATATAGAAATGAGAAAATATGGCCCATTCAAATGAAAGAAACAAACGAACAAAGCAGAAACTGTCCCGAAAAAATATCTGACAAAATTCTGAAAAAACTATCTTAAAGATGCTCTAAGAACTAAAGGAAGATGTGGAGAATGTCAAGAAAATGACGTTAAACAAAATGGAAATATCAACAAAGAGAGTACATTTAAAAAGAAACAAAAAAGAAATTCTTGAGTTAAAAATACAATAACTGAAATGAAAATTTCACTAGCGAGATTCAAAAGCAGATTTGAGCAGTCAGAAGAAAGAATCAGAGAACTTTAAGAGAGAACTAAAGGAATTATTGAGTCTGAGGAACAGATATATAAAAGGTTAAGTAAAAGTAAATAAAGCCTAAAAAAAAATGCCATAGATGACAGCAGCTTTGTTTATCCCTCTTGTGACTACATCAAGGTTGTAACAGAAACATGGAGCAAACAGCAAGTAAAGTCTTCTGGGACCTAAATGAGCAGAAGCGCTACAACTAGGGAGGGAAATAAGAAATCACCCTGCAATGGTAGAAGGTAGGAGGGAGCGAAAATCAAGGCTCCCTGGTCCGAATGGCTGAGTGGGAGAGACGCTGTGGCAGCTGCAGATGCCTCTTAAAGGGGCTGTGTCAGCAAGCAGACTTTCATGGTGAGGACCTGTTCACTCTGAGCCCCAGAGCCTGGCCGGCAGCACGGGGGTCACCAGGGACTTATAGAGGGACACTGAGTTGTCGGAGCAAGGGCTAGACATGAGGCTTTCTCCAAGGCAGAAGTGCTGGCAGTGTCCATTGTTCATCTCTTGAGCCCTTCCTCTCCCAGTGTGCAGGCTCAGCGCCACCATAGCTGAGACATCATCTAACTGCATAACAGAGGTGCTCCACTGAAGGATTCCCTGAAACTCTGCCTTCCCCAACTCATGGCCCCACCCAAGCCACATACAGTTGTGTCCTCAGTGAGTCGATGTTTCTTGACGAGCAGCTCCAAGACTCACACTGGTGGTGGCTGACCTCAGTTTCTGGCATGGCCTCTTGAGGCAACTATAAGCACAGCTTCTGTGTGTTGCTTGCTGAATCTTAACAGATAGCCCCGGAAGGTCACAGGCTGGGGCTAAACTTGGCCTACAGCTGAACCCCTCTCAGGACTGTGCCACTGGACACTTACTGCACAAATCCATGCTAACAAAACCAGGAGACTTAGGAGCTTTGCTTAGTACATAGAAACAGACACAGAAAGGCAGCCAAAATGGGAAGACAAAGAAGCAGAAACTATATAAGAGGACAGAACAGAGATCCAGGAATAATGGAGTCAAGCAATCTAACAGACACAGAATTCAAAACATTGTTATTAAGATGCTCAATGAATTTAGGGGAAGTATAGATGAACTCAGTGATAACTTTAACAAAGAGATAAAAAACATAAAAATGGAAATGAAAATTATAAAAAGGAACCAGTCCAAAATGAAGAACAAATTATCTGAGGTGAAGAATATATTAGATGGAATAAAGAGAGTGGATAAAAAGAAGATTGAACCACTGCTAAAGAGGATGGGGAAGCCAAGAACACTCAACCAGAACAGCAACAAAAAGGAAGCCAAGATTATAATAATAATTTAAGGAGCCTATGGGACACAATTAAAGGTAAAAACGTCCATGTCTTAGGAAAACAAGGAAAACAAGATGTTGACGAGCTATTTGAAGAAATAATGATGGAAAATTTCCCTCACTTGGAGAAGGAAATAGACATAACCCCAGGAAGCTCAGAGAGTTCCAAAAACGATGAACCTAAAGAGGACCACACCAAGACACATTATAATTTGGATAACAAAGGTTAAATACAAAGGGAGAATCTTAAAAGCAGCAACAGAAAAGCGGCAAGAAAAGTTACCTATAGTTAGTTACCTATAAAGGAGCACCCATAAGACTAGCACCTGATTTCTCAAAAGAAACTATGCAGGACAGAAGGGCTTGACACAAAATATTCAACATGGTGAAAACCCAGGATCCACAACCAAGAATACTTTATTATCCGGCAAAGCTATCATTTAGAGCTGAAGGACAGATAAAGAGCTTCTCAGACAAAAGTAAGCTAGAGGAATTTATCAACACCAAGCCAGTATTACAGGAAATGTTGGAGGGACTTCTTTAAGAAGAAAAATTATGCATCAAAAACATGAATAAAGAATAGTAATAACTACATTCCTATCAACAAGTACCTCAAAAGGAAAAGAATTAAGTGCTCCAACCAAAAGATAGAGTAACTGAATGGATAAGAAAACAAGATCTCTACATATGCTGCCTATAAGAGACTCAGTTCGGATTAAAAGATACACACAGACTAAAAGGAAGGGGATGGAAAAAGATATTGCCTTGATGGACCTAGAGGCTATTGAGCTGAATAAAATAAGTCAGACAGAGAAAGACAAATATCGCATGATTTCACGTACATGTGAAATCTAAAGAACAAAATAAACAACAACAAAAAAAAGTAGAAATAAACTCATAGATACAGAGAATATTTTGAGGGCTACCAGACAGTAGGATTGTTGGGAGGATGGCAAAAAGGGCAAAGGGATTAAGAAATACAAATGGATAATTACAAAATAGACATGGAGATATAAAGTGTAGCATAAGAAAAATAGTTAATAATGTAATACATATGTAAGGGAGAAGAGGGTTACTAGATTTAGTGGGGTGATTACTTTGTGAGTTATATAGATCTCTAATCACTATGCTATACAACTGAAACTAATATATTATTGTATGCCAACTACAATTGAAAAAAAAAAAACCTCATTGAATTGTACAATGTAAATACAAGCAACTAATTGTCTATATTTCAATAAAGCTGGGGGAAAAAAATAAAGCCTAAGGGATGTGTGGACAACATCAAGTGGACCACACATGCAAAAAGAGAAGAGAGAGAGAGGATTAGAGAAAATATCTGAAGACATAATGGCTGAAAACTCCCCAAATTTCATGAAAGACATGAATAAAACATCTAAAAAGTTCAAGGATCTCCAAGTTAATTGAACTCAAAACCCCACACCAAGACACATTATAATCAAACTTTCAAAAAACAAAAGAGAATCTCGAAAGCAGCAAGAGACAAAGCAGCAAGAGACAAGTGACTCATCCCAAATAAGGGATCCTCAATAAGATTATGAGCAGATTTCACATCGGAAACTTTGGAGACCAGAAGATAGTGGGCTGATATATTCAAAGTGCTCAAATAAAAGTGTCAACCAAGAATCCTATATCTGGCAAAACTGTCCTTCAAAAGTGAGAGAGAAATTAAGACATTCCCAGACAAACAAAAGTTGATGGAGTATGTCACTATTTTATCTGCCCTGCAAGAAATGCTCAGCAGAGTCCTGCAGGGTGAAATGAAAGGACACTAGACAGTTACTTGAAGCCATACAGAGAAATAAAGATCTCAATAAAGGCAAATACATGGGCAATTATAAGAGCTAGTATTATCGTAACAATGGTTTATAACTGCACTTTTTTGTTCTCTATATGATTTAAGAGACTAATATGTTTAAAGAAAAAAATTGTTAATCTAAACACTAGTACTATGGTAACTCCAAATCTTGTTTTATACACAATTTAAGAGACTAATGCATTTAAAAGAATTGTTAATTTACACATTCAGGCACACAATGTAAAAAGATGTAATTAAGTAACATCAACAACAAACTGTAGAGGAGCAGAGTTTTTGTATGTTATTGAGGTTAAACTGGCATAAATTCAAATTAGAGCCTTATGATTTTAGGGTCTTAAATGTAATCTCTATGGTAATCACAAAGAAGATAGTTATAGAATATACACAAAAGGAAATGACAAATAAATTGAAATATTTCACTGTAAAAAATGGACTAAAAAAAGTAGAGAGTAATATAAGAAATAAGGGACCAAAAAAAAAAAAAAAAGCCATAAGGCATACAGAAAACAAACAGGAAAATGACAGACTTCTTCCTTATCAGTAATTACTTTAGGTGTAAATGGATTAAATTCTCCAATCAAAAATAGAAATTGGCAGAATAGATAAAAACACAAGACCCAGTTCTATATGTTGTCTACAAGAGATTCAGTTGCGGTCCAGTGACACAAATTGAAAGTGAAAGGATGAAAAAAGAGATTCCATGTGAATAGTAACCAAAAGAGAGCAAGGGTGGTTACACCGACATCAGACAAATAGATGTTAAATTTAAAGATTCCAAGACACAAAGAACAACATTATATATTAATAAAAGTTTTGACACAGCAAGAGATAGAATAAATATAAACATTTACTTACCTAATGGCAGACTACCGAAATACATGAAGCAAAACTGACAGAATGGAAGGGAGAAATTAACAGTTCTACAATAATAGTTGGAGACTTCAGTACACCAATCATAACTGATAGAGCACCAGACAGAAATGAATAAGAAAATAGAGGACTTAGTCAACACAACAGACCACCTGTATCTGACAGACATATACAGAACAGTCTACCCAACAACAGCATACACATTTTCTCAAGTGCGCATAGGACATTTTCCAGGATACACAACATGTTATGGCATAAATTAAGCCTCAATAGATTTGAAACGATGTGTGTCATATAAGGTATCATCTCTGACCAAAAGGGGATAAAGTTAGAAATCAATAATAGAAGAAAAACTGGAAAATTCACAAATTTGTGGAAATTGGATCAAAGAAGAAATCACAAAAGAAATTGAAAATAGAGAAAAATGAAAATGAAAATATGACATACCAAAACTTATGGAATATAGCAAAGTGCTAATGGGGAAATTTATAGCTATAAATGCTTACATTAAAAAACAGGAAATATCTCAAATCAA